CACATTCATTGGTGTAGTATAAATATGTAAGACGTGCATCGGGTCATAATCATCAGCCTCGTTAGGTGGAAGACGCATCACTAATCACAGTCACGCACTCCGTCGAGCCAAGTCTCCGCGCCGCAAGGGTGGGAGGGTGCAGTCAAGCATCAGCTGGTGTTCTTAGATTCCTGTGGGTCACTCACGCGGGGTCGGCAAATGTGCAAACAGCTTGTGGTCATCACTGTCACGGCGGGACGACGGGAGAGGTGGGTTAGGGTTAGGGGTGGGCACGCCGCTTCAGTGGTACGAGTAACAGTTGAGGTAGTATGCACACGGCATCTTGTCGTCAACCTGCGCCAGGCGCCTTCCGATGGTAATTCCATTTTCACACATCATTTGCGGCACAGTGTCCCATAGCGCTGCAGCAGCCGCAGCACAAGGGAGAGGGAGAGAGAGAGAGGGAGAGAGCCAGTCACGGATGCCATCAGCTGGTAGTGCATGTTATCGATTATCTCCAGTCACGTACCACGCTCGGAGTGAGTATTGAATTGGATGCATCATGCGGCGGGCACACAACCAGCAAACGGGGCTCTCGCGCGTGCTTCGTACCGTCGCACCGCACTGTCTGCGGGGACGCATAGCGACACCGCTGCCTCGGCCACGGGGAAAGGGGGTGCTCCGTCCGTGACTGTCCACCCGCTAAGCACAGCAGTTGGACGGGGCGCGCACGGCCTGGCGGTTACGCGGGCTGCTCACGACAGTCTCTGCACCGCATCACGCAGCACCCGTCCACGTCTCGCCGCACCGATTGGACTCCACGCCACCAAACCGGCGTCGCCCTGCCCGGAGTGGCTGCACACACACACACACACACACACGTATGACTGCGGGCGGCGGCTGGCTGCCTCGCGGGACTCATCCACATTCATTGGTGTAGTATAAATATGTAAGACGTGCATCGGGTCATAATCATCAGCCTCGTTAGGTGGAAGACGCATCACTAATCACAGTCACGCACTCCGTCGAGCCAAGTCTCCGCGCCGCAAGGGTGGGAGGGTGCAGTCAAGCATCAGCTGGTGTTCTTAGATTCCTGTGGGTCACTCACGCGGGGTCGGCAAATGTGCAAACAGCTTGTGGTCATCACTGTCACGGCGGGACGACGGGAGAGGTGGGTTAGGGTTAGGGGTGGGCACGCCGCTTCAGTGGTACGAGTAACAGTTGAGGTAGTATGCACACGGCATCTTGTCTAACCTGCGCCAGGCGCCTTCCGATGGTAATTCCATTTTCACACATCATTTGCGGCACAGTGTCCCATAGCGCTGCAGCAGCCGCAGCACAAGGGAGAGAGAAAGAGAGGGAGAGAGCCAGTCACGGGTGCCATCAGCTGGTAGTGCATGTTATCGATTATCTCCAGTCAAGTACCACGCTCGGAGTGAGTATTGAATTGGATGCATCATGCGGCGGGCACACAACCAGCAAACGGGGCTCTCGCGCGTGCTTCGTACCGTCGCACCGCACTGTCTGCGGGGACGCATAGCGACACCGCTGCCTCGGCCACGGGGAAAGGGCGTGCTCCGTCCGTGACTGTCCACCCGCTAAGCACAGCAGTTGGACGGGGCGCGCACGGCCTGGCGGTTACGCGGGCTGCTCACGACAGTCTCTGCACCGCATCACGCAGCACCCGTCCACGTCTCGCCGCACCGATTGGACTCCACGCCACCAAACCGGCGTCGCCCTGCCCGGAGTGGCTGCACACACACACACGTATGACTGCGGGCGGCGGCTGGCTGCCTCGCGGGACTCATCCACATTCGTTGGTGTAGTATAAATATGTAAGACGTGCATCGGGTCATAATCATCAGCCTCGTTAGGTGGAAGACGCATCGCTAATCACAGTCACGCACTCCGTCGAGCCAAGTCGCCGCGCCGCAAGGGTGGGAGGGTGCAGTCAAGCATCAGCTGGTGTTCTTAGATTCCTGTGGGTCACTCACGCGGGGTCGGCAAATGTGCAAACAGCTTGTGGTCATCACTGTCACGGCGGGACGACGGGGGAGGTGGGTTAGGGTTAGGGGTGGGCACGCCGCTTCAGTGGTACGAGTAACAGTTGAGGTAGTATGCACACGGCATCTTGTCGTCAACCTGCGCCAGGCGCCTTCCGATGGTAATTCCATTTTCACACATCATTTGCGGCACAGTGTCCCATAGCGCTGCAGCAGCCGCAGCACAAGGGAGAGGGAGAGAGAGAGAGGGAGAGAGCCAGTCACGGATGCCATCAGCTGGTAGTGCATGTTATCGATTATCTCCAGTCACGTACCACGCTCGGAGTGAGTATTGAATTGGATGCATCATGCGACAAGATATATATATATATCGTTGTCTTTGTGTGCTTGTCATGGTTGTTTTGACGGATCTTATCGCAGCTTGTTTTTATGGCTGAATATTTTGCTCTTGATTGGATTAAAATATTTTTTTTTTTCCCTTCCTGTGTTACTATTGGTAATGGTTGGAAGTTTCTGTTGCTGGAATCTTCCTTCTTGTGTTATGTGCAGTGAATATTTGGAAAACAAACAAAAGGGGAAGAAAAAAAAACAAAAAAAAAACAGTCATCTATGAAATATGGAAGTACAGCAAAGGACATGAATGCATTTTGTGTAAATTGAGCAAAAAGACCGTGCGTTTCCAATGTATGTGCGTTGCTGGTTGTTGGTTTTTTTTTTTTTTGTGTGTGTGCAGCAGCCGGTAACCTCCAAAAAAAAAAAAAAAATAATAATAATAATTAAAAAAGAAGAGTGCATTAAAACAATATCAGTCATACATATTCTTTTGACCTATTAAATGTCTGTTATTTCCGTGTAAAAATGCTTTTTCTTTATTTGTTTTTTTTTTTTTTTTTCTTCACTGTGGGTGGGTGACAAATGTGATGGTTGCATATAAATATAAATATATAAATAGGGATTTGTAAAACAACACAAAAATGCCTTTTCATATGTACGCATAAAAAACAAAAAAAAAAACAAAAAAAAAAACAAAAAAAAAAAAAAAAGATATATTTATAAAAGTGGCCTGTCTGTTTGTTTGTATGTGTTGGTATGGTGTAGGGGTGGCTTTACAGGCCGTAGATGTGCGCGTCGATGGGGGCCTCCACTTCAAAGGCGAAGGGCACCGTGACGACCGCCCCGGGCTTCAACGTGACTTGCATCTCCACCACACCGTCCACCTCCAGCCGCCGCTGTCGCTCGTCGGTCCAGTCCATCGCGTCCGTCTTCGGCTCCAGCAGGCGTACTGTGAGTTTCTGTTCGTTGGACTTTGGGATGCGCTCCTGCACTGTCACGGTGACGGTCTCCTGCGACTTCGTATTTGTGAGGGTCGTGGCGTATGCAAGCAGCAGTCGCTGCCTGGACGCGCGGTTAAATAAATTCGTCTTCATATTTGTCGTGCATCGCTCCTGCAGCTTCCGGCGAACTTCAATGCTGCTGTCGACGCCGAATGGGATGCGGAGTTTCTCGCCAGGGGCGGTACGCGTGAGAAAAGTATTCGCGACAAAGTTGCCATCCAACATGACGGTGGCGTCGCCTGGGAGAAGTTGATATTCGTCCGCATTCGTGCA